TTACTTCATTTAATTTACTAATTATTGGATTTAATAATAAGATTATATCACAAATGGCCAGAAGTGTAGAATTTTTTTCCCTCTTTCTCACGTATACTATGAACAAAACTATACTATAAGTCATTATTTATGAAAAAATAAGACAAATTTGCCTAGCTCATTTGTTATCTGATTACAGTGTGACATATTTTGACTAATTTTTAAATGTTTATTTGTTTTTTTAGTTGTAGTTGGACACAATATCTTCATTTATTTTTATGTGGTGTTGAGGATTGAACCCAGGGCCTTGCACGTGCTAGGCGGAGCACTCTACCTCTGAGCCACAACCTCAGCCTGACTAATTTTATTTTTTATATTTCCTTTTTCAGTAAATTAAGACCTCTCCCTTTCTAGTAATAGATAAAAATCACATATATGTACATATGATTTCATGTTCAAACAATTCTGATGGCTATGCCTGTAAGGAAAGCAAATCTTGTCAATCAATCTTAAAATCAGTTTAGGTGTCTCCTTATTCTGTCAATAGCCTGGGAGTGAGCAGAGTCACCCATTTAAGGCACACTGCCTTCTTGCCCTTCCCTCCCTTTCCCAAGTGAAATTCTTTTTTTAAAATATTTTTTTAGTTGTTGATAAACCTTTATTGTATTTGTTTATATGTGGTGCTGAGAATCAAACCCAGTGCCTCACACATGCCAGGCAAGTGCACTGCCACTGAGCCCCAGTCCCAGCCCAAGTGAAATCTATTTTAAGTGGATTTTTTTAGATCAATTTAAATGTTTTATCAAGCACAGTATGCCCGTAGGATTTCTGAAATTGTGTTTAATCACAGAGAAGTGGGGAAATACCCCATCGTTTGCAGAAAATTACTCCTCTTTAACCTGTATGTGAAATGTTCAGATTAAAAGAAAATTAGGAATAGAAAAAGTTGTAGTTCACTCAGCAAGCCTCTCCTTCTCCTAATTGGGTTCTACTGATTAAATTGCAAAAATAGTAGGCTATTTTTTTTCTTTAATATATTTAAAGAATTATTATTATCCAATTAGAAATGGTAACAAATGAGACTAAGAGCATGCTATTTCCTGTGCTTCCACATACCTATATTTTGCCCTGGAGAACATTAATATTAGTTTTCTCATTTCCACTATAATTCTAGGTAAAATGCTCTTTTCTCACTCCTAATATATTCATTTTAAACATTATAATCGGCACTTCAATTTGAATAGTGACAGTTTTAGGTCATTTGTATTGTAACTGTCTTCCTTTTCCTAATGTAGATATTTATTAGGATTTAAATTGTTTTTAGATTTTAATCTTTAAATCTCTTTCTGCATTCTCATTTGACAGAATCTCTTCATGCTCCACTTTATAATATAAGGATATGATTCTTTTACCCCTTTCTCTTCATTTTATCCCTTCCTTCCTTTTTGTATATCAGCTACAGCTTCTACTTTTACAGTGTTAAGATGACTAATATTTATATTCTGTCTTGTAACAAATCATGGTTGACCACAGGATGACTCTAAACTTTAAAAACCAATACATAATGCTTAACTTATAAGGCTATGCAAGTATTGTGTTAGAGTTTTGTGTCTTTCCATAACTGATAATTATAAATTACCTGGCCAGTCTAGGGAGTGATTCTAGCATTGAGGACAATTAGACTAGCTTTTCTTATATTTTGTGTATTACTTAAATTCCTCACATGTTACATTTCATTTTATGTTTGAACCACATTAATTCTTTGAACTTTCTTTTCTGGAAGCTCTCTTTTGTAGAAGTTAGTCTTTTCCATCCTGGACTGACTATTCTTTAGACATAGTTTAGGGCAGTAATCCTGGGGTTTTCATGAATTACTTTACTGGACTGTTAGGATATTAGGGCTTCTTTTTTTCTTGATTTACTCCCTCATTTTTCCTGAGTTAGTTCTTAACTCTGTGGGAAAAATAATTCTCAGCTCTTGCATGAGTAAATGTGTTTTTAGTCTGCCTTCATCAAAATTGATAGTTTGGATAAGTATAGAATTCTAAATTGAATTATTCACTTTCATCTAGCATCCTTTGTGGCTAATGAAAAGTCTGATACCAAGTGACTTGTTTTAGTCTTTTTGAAACCTTTTAGTTTATCATTTATGTTTTGAAATGTCCTTAGCACATATCTGATAGATTATTCTTGTCCATCAATGGCTTTTTCCATTTGAAAACTCTTTATTTTTTTCAGTTTTAGAAAATTTTCTCCCAGAAGGTTCTTTCTCTTTAAAGTTTTTGCTTTCTCATTCATCATTTTTACCCTGATGCTGTACTTCATGTTTTGGCTATCTCTTTTTTCTCTTATTTTCAGTCTCTTGCTTTTTCTTCTACTTATGGAAAATTTTCTTGTTTATTTTTTTAATGCTTCTATGAAACTTTATGTTTAGCAATAATATGCTAATCTTTAAACATTTTTTGTGTTATTCTTCTCAGGAAGCATGTCTTTCTGGTTTTATGGCTATAAAACATTTGGCTCTCTCATGTTACTTTAACCAGAAGTTTTGTGTTTGGTTTAGCTCATTTTTGTTGTTTTGTGTTTGCTCCTTAGGTTTTCTCTGTTTCTTGTTTTATTTCATTCCTTTGTGGTCAGTTTTCCAGCTTATTTTGGCCAGTCATTCTCTTGAATGCTACAGGTTCTCTACATATACAACAGATCCTTGATTTTCCATTAATACTTAGAAGGAGTGGAAAAGTAATTGGTTAAAGTTTCATTTGTTACGAACAGAGAACTCTTTTCCAGCCGAGCATCTTTCCTGAGTAAGAATTCTATAAGAACTACTGCGTAGGGCCTTGATTCCATCAGGGTTAGCTGATGGAAAGCCAGCTTTGGAGCTCAACACCCAGAATCAGAATCATTCCATTCAGCTTCCTTGTAACATGATTTATACTTCTCCCCATCGGTCTAAGTGTCAGATACCTGCCTATGAAAGCACCAGCTCTGTGTTTCTCTCTTAAGAATCCCTCATTATCATTCTTTTGTAGCCTCACTTCTGAGTCACACTTTCTGACTCTGAGGCCAGAAAGAACTTCTCTATATTCAGCCTCTTATTATTATTTTCTAGACACTAACTTCTCTGCAGATTTCATTTTTCCACTTGCCTCCACCTATTTCTCAGACATTGAGTGAAATAAATCCTTTATCCATCAGCCACCAACACCTCCAATCGTGTGCTTTTACAGACTCCTCATCCTTTTCTGTCAGTTATGTCTTCATTGTACTTTTGTATTTTTCTTTCAATGGGATCTTGGGAACAGTGGGAGGCAAACACGTTTCTACTCTCTTAAATCTCTTTTTGTTTCAGAAAGCCRTCAGTTCAGTTACCATTCTGAACTTCAGGGAATTTTACATTGCTTCCATTGTGTAATTTTCTCTGTTTATTTAGCATCCCTTGAACTGAAAACTCTGTATGAGCAATTGTTGTGAATTGGATTCATCTTTGTCTTCCACAGATCCAGAGACTAAATTGCAGGAGGTTTCAAATGACTATTGTAAATGCTAAAGTCTGCAGTGGTCTTCACTCTAACCATACTCTTCTGTTTATACTCTTTCTTTCCATCTGCTTGCCTTGGTGTCTGTTTCTCGCCTCATTATCTTTCTCTTAGTACTGTTTTGCTGCACTCTGTCCTCCTCCCAACCTCTTCTCGATCTTCAGGGGCAAAGCAGCATTTTCCTCTGGGTGCCACCTTCCTTACTGCTCCTGCTGGTACGTGAGCCATTTCCAGACATTTCAGTACACCACCCGTGTTTCTCCTTCATGTCCCTACTGCACGTTGAAATTCCCTAGGAATTCTCTGAACAGTTTTGAGATTCAATAATTTCAACTCATGGCCAGTCTTTCTTTATTCTTGCTCCCATTCATTCCTCTCCCCATATTATTTTGAAATAAATCCCACATATCACATCATTTCTTTCACAAATATTTTAAATAAGAGCTCCTTTATAATATAACAATACTATTACTAACCTAAATTTCTTGATACTATTATATCCAATAAGTGTTCAAATTTTTAATTGTTTCATGAGTGCCATTAATACTTTTTATTTTATTTGTTTCAGTTGGGAATCCCTGTAAAGTCTAAAAATTGCAGTTGGTTGATAGTGCCTTTAAGTCTATTAACCTATAATATGCTACCCTTGCATCTTTCCTGAAATTAAACTGTGTTATTCAATTGTTTGACATAATTCCATGATTTCAAATATGTCGAAACCTCTTTTTATAAAAAATTAGAAAAGAGAATCTGATAATTTGTTTGAGACTTTGTATAGACATGTTTAACTTAGTCTGGATCCAGGTTTTTTTTTTTTTTTTTTTTTTTGTGTGTGTGTGTGGCATGGTAGCTGGAAGGCCAGTTCAGTAGTTTCCCTGAGGAACCAGGTGCTTAGATTTACTGGTAAACATGAAATATGGTTTTTGCAAGACCAGTGGGGAATTCTCAAACCCCCTAAAATATGTGATAAAATAATATTAAGTATTAAAATAGGAATAATTTTACATTGTCAAATTTTGACCCTTAACAAATTAATAAATGAGAACCCAGGCTTTCTGAAGTTTGGATCAGAGTCTCTTATAAATGAACATATAAAATATTATGTTAGATATAAAATTTGTATTATATATGACATACAGTTATATCAGGCATGACATTTCACAGCCTTTGTAGCATGCTTATGTCTGAAGTGGTGGGAATAGGAGGGCTTCCTCAAGGGTGGCAGCTGTTGCTTGCTTTTTTGACTCTCAGTTAGTTTTAGTGCAGCAGCATTCATTGATGGAGTCCGGTCTAGTACTTGCTCAGTTGTTTCTTTTGGGTGACAAACAGGGTTGTGTAAACATTATTATTTTAATGAATAAAAGATTTTCTCCCTTTTGTTTTTGCCAGAAATAAACTTTAGGAGTATTAGAACCTTTAGGATAAAACGCCAAATAAGAAATTTTCTTTTATAAAGAGTTCTGATCATTTCCTCCCTGGTTTTAGGAGCTGGGAATCCCAGGTGTAAAATTGTAATTCTTTTGGGAAGAAGTAAAGCTACTTCACAGTCCAGGTAATAAAATAATATTGATTGAAAATATGTATAGGAATAAAAGTCAATCTTGCTATTCATTTAATTTACTTAAACTATAACACTGGACTTACAAATCATAATAATATAAAATATTTTATGAGATTAAAAGTCATTGTTTGTATTTCACAAGTATTTTGCCAAAAGACATATTTGAAAAATATTTTGGGGAGTGTTGTTGTACATTCTTCACTGTGGAATTTCTGGCATTCAAGAGTGTTACTTAGTCATGAAAGCTGTTAGGATCAGATGATTAGAGATAGAATTTTTCAGAACTGTCTGTATTATTGAAGTGATCAGATGTTGTAATCAAAGGCTGTAGTCTTGAAATGTTTAATTTTTCATATTGGTTTCCCAGTTACAATTGTTGAACAACAACAAAAAACCATATAGTAATTAGATTTCTATGGCTGTAACAAAATATCTGAGATAAATCAACTTAAAGGAGGAAAGGTTTATTTTAGCTCATAGTTTCAAAGGTTTCAGTCCAAGGTCATTGGCTCAACACTTTGGGCTGCAGTGAGGCAGAACATCATGGTGGTAMGTATGTATAATAGAGCAAAACCATTCATCTCATGGTAGGCAGGAAGAAGAGAAAGAGAGGAACATCCAGAATCCCAATATATCTTTGAAGGGCACACCCCCATGACCTACTTCCTCCAACTAGGCCCCCTTTTGAAATTTTCAATCAGCTCCCATAACTCCATCATCTGGAGATCAAGCTTTTAATACATGAATTTTGAGGAACATTTAAGATCCAAACCATAACAACCCTCAATCAAACAAATTTCACTATTTTCTAATCTTTTTTTGTAGTTGTTGTTCCAGATCATAGCGTGCATCAGACTGTGCTGGTGTGTCTTTTACACAGTTCCCATTCCAATCACTATTGCTTGCTTATGTGATTGTGATAACAAGACAGTTTCAACTCTGCCTAATGTCTGTTTCATTTCTCCTCTTAGCAAGCTTTTCCTAACATTATTTTTCTTTTAACTAGGCACAAACAGCACAGCATGATTCTTGTTCCTATCAACACACCTGGAATAAAAATAATAAGGCCTTTGTCAGTTTTTGGGTACTCGGGTAAGTACTCAGTACATATGTCCCTGCTTGCTAATGCAGACCTGAATCTGCAGTGACGCTGGCAAAAATAGAGAGCATCTTAACATATGACAGGTATTCTTGGAAATGCCTTTGGCCCTGGCAACATGGAATTCAGGTGCAGCAGGTGAGGCAGTGCAACATTTGGCCACATTTCATTTACTGCTTCGGAAAATGCAGAATGTGTTCAAGGAAAAGCAACTCTAAACCACCAGTCTTTTTTCTGTCATTCATGAGAATGGATTAATGAAGTAGATACAGACAAACAGATAAATTGAGATAATCTACACCAAAATTAATTTTTTTTTGCCTCCAAGTTTACTTTTCTTAGTCAATCAACCTACCACAACTGTCAATAAGCAGTGAGTTGAGTGTTGACTTTGAGTGCAAAGCTTTGCCTTCTGCTCATGGGACAAACTTCTAAGAAGCAAGACTGCTTTTGTTTCCTGCCACCCATCCTGGGCATATGTTCATTGTGTCCATGCTGCTCAGATCATCCACTGAGCAAGTGCTTATTGAGTGCTGAGTACCATTCTAAGTGCTTATAATACACAAAGGAACACAAAAGACTAAGATCCTTGCCCCCTGGAGCATGCACACTGGTGGAAGGAAGCAGGCGATAATGACAAACATAAGTAAATATGTTATATGGCATGTTAGCAGGGGATAAATGCCATGCAAAATTGGTTGAAATTCAGGCTTTATGGTGAGTCTAACTTTCTGTTATTGAAGATGACTGACGAATATGTTTGAATAGCAGACACAAGCCTTGGTTTTACAAAAGTTTGACATCAGAGCCTTCTGTAGATGCAGCTATAGGATTTACCCACAAGTGAAGTCTAGGTACAAGATGGGGCACACAAGATCACTGGAGCAAATTGCACATCAGAGTTGTGGGTTGCAGAGCAACAGCATGAAGACACCAAAAATGAATTTTAATACAGGTTGGGTACAAAGACAGTCAACTGCAGAGCCTGCTTTTGAATTTTTACTGTGAAATATTCACTAGCATCTTTCCAATTCCCTGTGTCCAAGGCCAAAAGAAACAGTGTACAGAATGTTGATTTTTTTAATATCTATTCTGACAGGAAAAGGGTGTGGAGTTAGCTAGAGATAATTTCTATAATTTGATGGGGAGGAGGAGTGATTATGTTGCCAATCTCAGTGACTCTAATGCCAGCCTTTTCAAGAAGCAAACACATAGTGGAACAAGTGCAAATTAGGAGTGACATGCCTAAACAAAGGTCAGGTCTCTGCTTCATCACTAATGCTGAGCCTGCTCTGTCCTCTCAAGCAGGCCCTTTGTATCTTCAGGCATTGGTTTCCACAATGACAAAATAGAATCTTGAATTACATTACTTATTTTCTATTTTTGAAACACCAGATCTTTTCTTCAGGATTCCTAATGTAGAAAAATTAAAAGAAAAAACAATACTAAAATAATAATAATGTAGTCTTGCCAGCACCATGGAACCCAGTCTTCTTTTTCCATAGCTCAGAGAAACCTCTGGATCAAATGATTTCTAAAGTCTCTTCTCACTTGAACAGATGATGAGTTTTCTGAACTGCTGGGTGCTGGGGGTTCAGGGATGATTTTACTTAGGAATGTCTATTACACATGGATCTTTTAAACCCTACTTTTTTGAGTAATTATACTTCAGCAGATTCATTATGTATAACTTTATCTTAGTCAACTCATTTTTCTCTTTTTCTTTTTAAAAATTTTTCTCTTTAAACTTCTATCTTCTATTTTACAGATAACTTACACGGAGGACATTTTGAGATCCATTTCCACCAAGTGCGAGTTCCTGCTACAAATTTAATACTAGGTGAGATAAGTTTGGAAAGATTATTCTCCAGTATTGTATATTAATATTTTCATACCTAAATCTGTAGAACACATCCAGTCATCCTTTATTTAGGTGTTTTTCTATCTTATTTACTCCATTTATCAAAGATAAATTTTCCATTTTGTGATTTGACTTATGTAGAATGATAAAGTTTTATTTAAATGTTAGATGTGTTTGTGTATTTCATATGATTTGAAAACATAGCTAAATACAAAAATCATTCAATATCCAATTTAAAGCAACACCCTTTTTTCCCAAGACATGATCTCTGGGTCTCTCCTTGTTCTAAGAAGACCTTAGTATTTTCTGAATTCACGTCTTATACATACGACAGACGAATAAACAATTTTGTATGCTGTATGTCCGGAAAGACTCTTGCTTATTGGAATCCTACTCAGCCTTCAAAGAATATCTCAAGTGTTATTCCTTTCAGGAATATTTTTGTATTTCTCACCCCATCTACTCAACAAACCCTTGCCAGGCTCTAAAGTTACTATGGTAACAATGATAACAATCTCGCCCTCCTTTCCCTTTCTTTGGCCCTCTCTGTAGCCCTTATCTTCACCTGTTCTTCTGGATTCTAAATTCCTGGGGTAGGGAATTGTCTCATCCACTTTTGTAACTACTGCAGCACTAATAAACTACCTTATGTATAGTAAGTGCTCAAGAGACAGAGCTTAAGTTTGATTGAAATCTTTAATGATGTTGGTTTAAAAAAAAAAACAGATCTCAAAATTCCCTTAAATGCATAATGAACATTCCTTTTTATTTTTCCCCACCAGAGGTAATTTTTATTGAGGGAAGCTCATCATTTTTCTAGAATTTCTGTGAATAACAAAAGGAACATTTTCATGTTTTCCTTTTTTACTTGTAGGCGAAGGGCGGGGATTCGAAATTTCCCAAGGCCGCCTTGGACCTGGCAGAATCCACCATTGTATGAGAACAATAGGTTTAGCAGAACGTGCTTTGCAAATCATGTGTGAACGGGCAGCACAAAGGAAAGCCTTTAAGAAGAAACTGTATGAACATGTAAGGATGATTACATCCCTGAATTTATGGTACCCCAGTATACTATACTAATCATGAACAAAAACAACATTCCTTGGCTAGAGAAATTTACTTTATATGAACAAGGTGATTCTTTCCCATAAAGCATATTTATTCTTTATTTAAATATAGTTTGATGAAAAATATTTATCTTTTGAAAGTTGAGCTCCTTCAGTGCTTCATCACCTCAGCACATAGTGTGGACAATAGCTTCAAATTTCTCAGACTCCTCTAGAGAACCTGGTCATTAGAGCTTTCTGTGGATATGAAGAGGTTGTACTGGAAGAGGGACCTGCCTTGATCTTTGGTTTTGTGGAAGAAATCAGGACAGATTAGTATAAAGATGGAAAACAGCCCAAAACTTAGTGAAAAGAGGAACATTCTTTTTATGTGTGTGTAGTGCTGAGGATTGAACCAGGGCCTTGTGCATGCAAGGGCAGGGGATGTAGCCCAAAAAAAAGAATATTCTGATAGATTGAATAGTGAATGGACTCCCAGGAGGAAGTGAGTTCCCTATCACTGGAGAAAGTATGTCAAAAATGGGACCARTATTGGGTGGACCATTCATGATATTTTGAATTTTCATCTGCAAATTAGATTCTATTGAGTCTTTTATTTACAAACCACTATAAACATAGTTACATGTGAGCAATATAATAAAAATCAGCAAAAAGTATTGAGAGGGAATAGAAAGCCTCATTGCAGATTTCCTTGAAAAACTTTCTTTTTTTTTAAATTTATTGTTGGTTGTTCAAAACATTACATAGTTCTTGACATATCATATTTCACACTTTGATTCAAGTGGATTATGAACTCCCATTTTTACCCCATATACAGATTGCAGAATCACATCGGTTACACATCCACTGTTTTACATATTGCCATACTAGTGTCTGTTGTATTCTGCTGCCTTTCCTATCCTCTACTATCCC